GTATTGAATTGATATCCCATTGGAAAATTGAAAAATCAACTTGTGGTTGAGATTTCAATCAAATTAGACAACCTAAACAAGTTAATATTGTATTCAATTGGTATCCAACAGATATCCCACTTGAAAATGAAAAAAAAAACAAAATGTAACTGATATTTCAACCAAATTAGACAATCTAAAACAAGTTAATATTTTATCCAATTTATATACACTTGGTATCCAACTTGAAATTTTAGAACAAAGACAAAAAATAAAAATGTATAAAATTAGTATCCAACGGGTATAAATCCGAGAAGAATAAATCCGGGAAGAATGAATTTTGAGAATAATAATGTAATAAATTCTTAATTCTAAAAAAATCAGATTAAAAAAAAAAACAATATCAAAATTTAAAATAAAAAAAAACATCAAGAAAAGCAAAAAAAAAAAAAAGATTAAAGAGAGAAAATTACATGTTAAAATATACGGTGATAATTTATTTTTTTTTTTAAAAATTAAAGGCCCCAATAGTCATTAATAAATAAAAGTTATTTGAATAAGTTAAAAAAATCCCTTAAAAGGTGTAATAGATAATTACAAATTGATTCTCTCTCATAAATATCATTTCTCTCACCTATTAATTATATAAAAGAAACTGCAATCAATACAATTAAATAATTAATAATATAAAAATATAAAAATATAAAAATATTAATCATTTAATAAAGTAAATTTTAATTGATTTTTAAATAAAGTTAAATTTAATTGATATGTTATAACCTGTAATTAAACTGTTATAAGTAAGAAATTTTTAAGAATTGGTTTAAAACTCGTAATATTGTCTCTTAAATGTGTATATGGTGTGATTTTTCCTTTACTAAATTAGTTCAAAATCGAATTGTATCGATAAACCAACAATGAATTTTATCTATCGGATTATTGTTATCGATTTATCGAATTAACAGTTCATGAAAAAAATATAATTTTATAGTTAACGATTTATGGATGTGAGGGTGATTACTCAATTTCTTTATGGAGTAAGTCGTTAACCTATTAAGTCTAAAATCACCAAAATTTACGTAAGGACGTTCAAAGTCAAACCGCATCAATAGCCCAACTACGAACTTAATCTATTGGATTATTGTTATCGATTTATTGAATTAACAGTTGTGAACATATTGCAATTTTATAGTCAACGACTAATCGATATGAGAACAGATTACTAAATTAGACATCAAGAATATATATGCACATCATTTTTAACAACAAGGGATGTATTCGTTAGTATTTTAGGGACTAATAAAGCATCAATTTTCTTTTCCCTCTATCTAAAATTACATGGATCTTAGCTTAAGTCGCGAACGCACACATGACAATAATTGAAAGGGATTTTTAAGGTGATATATATGTCTGATTTTATTAGAAAGCAAGTTGCAAGTCATCTTTAAATATATTCATAAAAAAATTGAAGTGATAAATTATGTATCATATGTGTGTGTTTAATAAGGGGGAAGTTATTTTGCAATTTAGCATATGTGTGTGTTTAATAAGGGGAAGCTATTTTGCAAAAAAATATTTCCTATAAAGTTATTTTGTTCCTTTTTATAAAAGGAACAAATAGCAAATTAAATGGTTGGGCTTCTTACAATGTGACTATTTCCATACAAATTATGAAATTATTTATTGTTATTTTCGACCTAATTTCTTATTGTCATTTAAAGCTATTTGATGGTTTTTTGTTTATATAATCCCAAATTCAACCGATAAAAAGTTGTAACTTCACTCAAATTTTATTTATACAAACTTGTAGGAGTCTATGAGAAGTCTTGTTTTTCCCTCTTCTTTTTAAATTTATTCTGATACAGTATAAACACTTGGAGTTTACATGCAGGTAGTTGTATGAGGATTGTCGGTTTATGACCTATTTTTTCAACCTTATTTAATGCTATTTGACGACTTTTTGTTCATGTAAATCCAAACACCATAAAACAAAGTTGTAACCTCCGGGGTCTATATGAGAAGAAGATAAATTAATTTTTATTTGTTTTCTTATGGGGTTTTTTCAGGTATATTACAAACACATGGAGATTTGCATGTAAGTAGTAGTTATAAGTAGAATACAAGAGATACTAATGGAGTTCATTTATTTTATGAGTGTTAAGTATTTTTATTTGTCATGTGATACTTTTAATTTACGATATCCAAACTATGTAAGTTTTGATCATTCTTTTAAAAATATATTTTTATAAGAGATAACAATGAATTTAGTGAACAATATAATAAAATATAAATAACAAACAAAAACAAATATTATATTTAAATTAACAATCTAATACAGCAATCCAAACAAGTTGTTATTTGTGTTGAATTTATTTTTTGAAAAAATGAAGTTGAAATAAGATTCTTTTAGTGTTTTGCAAACGAAATAAACAAAATGAGCCTAAAGCCCATCTCAATTTGTAATATGGGCTCCGGATCAATAACGATGTTTAGCAAGTTCGAAATCATCAAAACGTATTTAAGGATGTTCAAAATCGAACCATAATCGATAAACTGCAAACTTGACCTATTGGATTATTATTATCGATTTATCGAATTAATAGTTGACGAACAAATTACAATTTTATAATAAATGACTTATCAATGTGAGGGGGGATTAGTCAATTTTTTTTTATGGAGTAGCCGTTAACTTATAAATTTTACAATTATTTATATATTATTCATAAATAAAATATAAATATTTTGTTAAATTTTGATTAACTGAAGTCTTTAACTTCACCAGTTTCTCAAACCCAATACTTAAAATGTTAGCCCAATTATTACAACCCTAAGTTTAAGTCCATCAAAATCCAGTACTTTAGTCTTTATTTACCCTACCTCACATAAGATAGTCACACTTTCTTTTAATTGAATCACTTTGTTCGTGTAATAATAACTCTAGTATTGCTTAATTGCTTAATTGAATAAAAAAATTATTACTCCCAAACCGAAAAAAACCAGAAAAATTGAACAAAACCAAACCAAACTGACAATAACCAAACCGACAGTTATTTTTTTCATTTGATTTGATATGATTTTAGAATTTTAAAAACCGACTAAATTGGTTTGATTTTGCTTTTAACCAACAACCGAACCACAAATATCCTTTCCAATACTGAATCAATCAATATCTTATTAATAGACAAGCGAAATAGATCATTTAAAAGCTATAACCAATAACTTAAAGCATGAAACATAACTACCCACCCAATAACCCTCAAACAGGTTGAGATTTTACTAGTTTATTTATATTGCTTTGTTTATATTTTTCTTTATCCAAGTATATATTGTTGGAGAAATTTGTGATTGGCTGAATATTTAAAACATCATTTGCATAATTACTTTATTCCTTTGAATTGAGTTGTTAAGAATGCTTTTTAATATGTTTTTTATTTGACTCTAGTTCACAGTGCAATATTACAGGACTAAAGTGCTAAATTTTAAATATTTTGTCAATTTTGGTTATATTTTTAAATCGTACCATTAAAAAAAAAAAACAATGTCACTTATGGTACAATCTATAATTAGGTATCTTGGAATGTCCCAATTACTCTATCAAATTAATATTTGAATACGAGATTCTATCTTCAATTTTCTATTGGTAATTTAGTAAAATCTAAAATTGCATATACTCTAATCAAAACCTGAAGTCCTTGTTTAAAATTTAACGCACGTACACATGCACGCACACACACATGGACACACACTCATGACGATAGTTGAAAGAAATTTTTGAGATAATGAATGTGCCTGGTCTTATTAGGATGCAAGTTATAAATCATCATCAAGTATATTCATAAAACAATTTAAGTGATAAATTATGTATCATTTGTGTGTTTAGTAGGGAGAAGTTATTTTGCAGAAAAATATTTCTTATAAAGTTGCTTTGTCTTTTTTTATTTTATAAAAGGAACAAATGACAAATTAAATAGTTGGGATGCCTTTTAGAGTTTTGCTTCTTCTTACAATGTGGCTATTTGCATACAAATTATGTCATTATTAATTGTCATTTTACGACCTAATTTCTTATTGTTATTTAAGGCTATTTGATGATTTTTTTTAATATAATCCCAAACTCAACCGATTAAAAACTTGTAACTTCACTCAAATTTTGTTTATACAAACTTGTAGGAGTGTATGAGAAGTCTTCTTTTCCCCTCTTCTTTTTCAGTTTTTTTTTGACACAATACTAACACCTGGAGTTTGCATGCAGATAGTTGTCTGAAGATTGTCGTTTAATGACCTAATTTTTCAACCTTATATAATGCTATTTGACGACTTTTTGTTCATGTAAGTTTAACGTTTAGCGATAAAACAAAGTTGTAACCTCCGAGGTCTATATGAGAAGAATATAAGTTAATTTTTAATTATTTTTCTTCTTTTTGGGGATTTTCCCAATATGTTACAAACACGTGGAGATTTGAATGTTGGTAGTAGCTATAAGTAGAATACAAGCGATATTAATGGAGTTCATTTATTTTATTAGTGTTAAGTATTTTTATTTTACAAGTGTTAAGTATTTTTATTTGTCCTAATATATGTGATACTTTTTACTTTACGATATTTAAACTATGAAAATTTTGATCAACTAAGTAGTATTGATCTGAAACAAGTCATAGAAATTTGTATTACACTTTATTAAGAATAAAATAAAAAATTTAAGTTAAATTATTTCTACATATAAAAAAAGTGATTCTCTTTGAGAAAAAATAAAACAAAAGTGTTCCACATTTATTCAGGTGGAGAGAATATTAGTTATACAGTTCTTGTGCTATAAATAAGCACATGTACACCCCCAAATTTCACTCACTCTTATACTTCACAAGAAAAACTTCCTTTTGTTTCTGAAAAAAAAGTTTCAAATTTTCTATTTCAATTGTTCTAAAGAGCCAATTGATTCTCTATTTATGTAAATTAGTATATTTACAAGTATTTTTTTTTATTGCATTTTTATCAATTGTAACGCCACCATCTTATAATAAATGGCTTATAGGAATGATCACCTTTTCAACTACTGTTCATCACTTTTCCCATGTCATCAACAAGACGATTTTCAGGAATTCATCGATCAAGCTCTATACGAATCAGATGAATTTCGTATGTACGCTTACAAAATAAAAAGGTGCTCAAATCTCCGTAGTCATGACTGGACTTGTTGCCCCTTTACACATAGAGGGGAAAAAGCACGTCGTCGTGATCCTAGAGAATATAACTATTTACCAATTCCTTGCCCTGGCTATAAATTTGCATCGTGCATAAAAGGAGATAATTGTGAATTATGCCATGGAGTTTTTGAGTATTGGTTACACCCAGCAAAATATAGAACCCATCCATGCCATGCTGGCACGTTATGTGACAGACGAGTATGTTTTTTTGCTCATACACTAGAAGAGCTTCGTCCTGAAATTAACTATAATTGGTGTTATGTGTATCAATACCCTTTGCACATCCAACCTTACCCTGACATTTTAATTGAAGATGTACCAAAGGGTATTTGGATTGTTATTCCTTGTAATTATCAGTTGTCACCACCACATGATCAGTACTATGGTACTATAGTTTCTGAACCTGAAAATTTGTTAACTTCTCAACAAATTTCTCCTATTTCGTCTCAATCAAAAATTGACCTTCAAAATGAAAGTGATTTTTCACTTTTTTCAACTAGCCATTCTAAATTAATTGAGGATTTGAAGAATCTTGAGATTGGGAGTACCTCTCATGCTAAGGTGAATATAATGGATGATGAAAAGGGAAAAAAGTCAGTGGAGTTTGAGTTTGAGTCAGAAGATCAAGAATTTCAAAACTTTAATTGGGTAACTGACTTGTTGATGGATGAATTAGAGGATACAAGCTTGTAAACATTTTTCTATATGATGTAGGATAATTAATTAAATAAATAAGTATTATCATTTAAAGAGGATAGTTATGTTAATAACTTCTAACTCTTTTTGGTCATTATTAGTTAATTATATTCTTCAATTGATCCTTTAAAGAAGAAATTGTGTGAAGAGAAATTTGTTTTATGATATATATGATAAAGTTTGATTTTAATTCAATTTAGTGACTTTACTGATACAAGAGTAAAGTTCATCAATCATATGTGAAATTAAAGCTTCAAACGTAACATAGGCAACACAATGACCCAATATACTCAAAATTAACATCCGCAATGAATGCACCATCTCATAGTCTCCAAGGACTTGTTTCTTTGATTTTACTTGTGGTCATTAAACTTTATCTGCTATAATAACAAAGTTGCATAATTCTGAGGTTTTTACCTTATATTTTTATGTTTTGTATCGAAAATGAAAAATTCATATAAACTGAAGCAATATATATATATATTATTTATTCATCACTGTGTAGTTTTTTTTATTTTCACTCGATGTTTGATATTCACATTGAAACCCAACAGAATACACGTGCAAAGCATGTGTCCAGATTTTGTTTCTACTTTAGTATAGTTACAATTGATGTGTCTTTTAATTACTTTATTTTAATAGCATTCATAGTTTAAGCTTACATTTTTTAAAATCATTATCTTAAATATTATATACTTCTTCCGTCTTAATAAAAAGTTTAAATTGATTAAGATAGGGTATGTGTGCAAAAAACACGTGTTCAGATACTGGTGTGTGTATATATATATATATATATATATATATATTGTGTGTGTAATTAATATAGAGCAACTTTCACATATAGCAAACACAAAAATCATATTTGTATGCTATATTTATAGTTTGCATAATTACGCTCCATAACAAACATAAATATGTATATTTCGCTATACATATACAAAAGATCAATTGTTTAATCTGTGTTTGTATAAAGCGAGAAACAGAGAAAGGCAAAAAAGAACTAGGAAGGGAAATATTTGTATTGTATAATTATAAGTGTATAGGACGAAGATATACGTATTTTCATGTGTATATACAATTTTCTCTCGCTTTATACAAACAGAAACACAATTTATACATTTCTGTTTGTATAAGCGAGAGAGGCGAGGGACAGACTGGCGAGCGAGATCGGGGAGAGGGGAGAGAGGGGAACGAAAATATATGTATATAAACAATTTTCTCTCGCTTTATACAAACACAAACACATTTTATACATTTGCGTTTGTATAAAAAGCGAGAGAGGCGAGGGAGAGAACGAGAGTGACGAGCGAGATTCACCAGGAGAGAGGCGAAATAACAACAGTTTGCTATGGGGTACAATTAAATCAAACTATGTTTATAGTATTTAATTTAAATTAATAGTTTGCTATTATATATAATTTTCCCATTAATATATAGCGTGTATACCGATTAAAAAAAATAAGCACAGTTAGCTGCTAGATTGAATCGACGTGTGATGAGATGGATTTAGTTCCATATGATGAAAGAGGTTCCAATTCCAAAGCTTAATGCTGATTTTGATGCATCTCTCCACATAACCAAATCAACTGATGAAAAATAATAATAATTCCAAACCAAAGAAGAGAAAATTAGAATCAAATATTTTGTCTCATGTTTGTGTTGGAGTTCGATTATTTGGATTCGTGTCATGTACGGTCTCATTCAGGAGAAACGCTCCCATCAAAAAAAATTCTACCCATAGCTTGAACTTGAGACTTTTGATTAAGGGAGGAGCATCCCCTCTTAACATATGACGGCGTTTTTGAAGTAGAAGAGAAATTTGAAAACCAAACTTATTATATATTCTCAATTTTTAAGTAACAATTCACTTGTAATGTGTATAACAAAACCAGTCTTGTCCATTCTGAAAAACTAAAATTGTCAAAACTCATAAACCAATATCAATAATGGTTTCTTATTCGTTTTCTCTAAATTCTAATTAAGTTTTTGATATTTTTCTTCGTTTTTTCTTGAGTTTATTTAAAGGAACAATATTGAACACTTATAATTTTATTTTTTTTAGGAAATCAAATAAAATAAGTATCCACCTTTTTTATGTTTATTTTTGAAAGTTGAGTTTTCCTTAATAGTATTTTTTATGTGTTAGAATTCATGTTTCAATTCTTCTTTTTCAGATACCGCGTATGTGAAATTTAGTAGCTTGACTAATATAAATTCAAGTTTGACAGATTTACTAACGGAGATAAAGTGGAATTATCATGAAGTTATTTATCTCTATTACTCGAATCTAAGATCTGTGATTAATATATTGGAAGGAATTTCAACAATCCCTCCACACCTCTTGCTAGTAAGTTTCAAAATATCTGAATTCATTTATGTTTCATCGATTTATATCCAATTTTCCTTGAATATATTTGTTTTATTGGTTGAAGGATCAACGACACATATTTCAATTGATTAAATATTACATGTACTGATCCAGGTATTACAATGACCAAAATTGGTGAAAGATCTGCACAGAATAGGAGTGCTTCTTATGCTAATGTGAATAAAATGCATGATAAATCAGTTTCTTGACATGTGCGTTGCGCGTGTATGTCTATAATACAAGATTTAATAAAATAACATTAATATTATATTAAATCAAAGCTTTGAGTAAATAATTATGCTCCCTATGTTCCAAATTTATGTAACGCCTTTTAAATTTTCAAGAGTCAATTGTTTAAATTTTGATGGTGCATTCGAACATGATATTTTGGATTTAAAAAAAATAATTAAATTTACATATTTGTAAACTACATACCTATATGTTACAATAATTGATAATTTAAAAACATTTAAAAGACAAAAAAAATTTTGATCAAAGAAAAGCTCATCTAACTTTCGAAATCCGAACAATCCCATATAAATTAAGACGATAAGAGTATATGAAAGAACAAAATATAAGTTATATCACTTTTCACTTTAAGCATGTAGTATTTCAAAATTATTGAAACATAAGACATCAACAAATCCATGGAAGATTATCACAAGTTAAATAAATACCATGATCTCTTTTTATGAAAGCTCAAAATTTCATTAAATAAAAATATTGAAGGTATGAGATGCTCGAATTTGACTTCTCGCTATGAAAAATTTCTTGGTAGGAAGCATTTCCCCCAAATAAGATCCGGCACGACTCTGGATTAATCGTTGTTGTTTCAAGACCACACAACATAAAAATATGAAACGTCTCACAAGAACATTTTGGCTGAGCAATTTATTTGAAGTTCATAATAGTAAAGTACAACAGCATTACAGTTCTATCCACTATATATCCCCATCTAAAAAACCAACTTCTAAAACATATATTATGCCTGAAACTGCAGAAATAAACACTGCAACTTAGACATGGAAACGCAACGAAGTGAAAATATCAAAGGAGGGAGAAAGAGTCCTATACTTGAAAAGCAATTCTTGTGGTTTGTATAGGCCATTTGGATACTGGTAGATGAAAAGAATGGAACTGGCACAGCCTCGAAAACAAGGCATTGCGATTGGAATGGCGACTCTGGAAGCAATTCTAGCTAGCAGAATCTGACATCTAATTAGAACAGCAGCCGCTTTTTTGGTTCACAGGTTGTCCCCGTATCTGCACGGTGGGTGGCTTTGCATTGTTTGATGCTGGCTGGGTTGCCATCCTGTATCAAGTAGTAAAAAGCGTCAAACACTAATCCACTGAAGACAGAACCCCCCACATACCCCGAAGAAGTGGCAACAGAACCAGAATAATGAAACAGAAAATACCTATTCTTTATTTCAGCTGCCATTGCCATGAAAGCTTGTTCAACATTAGTGGCACTCTTTGCACTTGCCTCCATAAATGGAATGCCAATTTCATCAGCAAAAGCCTTGTATGTGAATCAAGAACTATTTCAGTCAATCAAGCATTGTACTAGAAGGACAAACTCAAAAAAGAAAATGAACAGAATGCTAGATCTTAACCTTTGCTGTATCATACGACACTGCTCGGTTATCATTCAAGTCAGACTTATTTCCAACCAAAAGCTTGTTCACGTTTTCGCTTGCATAGCGATCAATTTCACTCAACCATTGCTTAACATTGTTGAAACTTTCTTGATCAGTTATATCATAAACTATCTGCCAGAATATTCAAAAAAGAGGAATAAGAAAAAAAGATTTCGTCAAGCGAAAAGGTAAAAAAAACAACCGATTGATTGCTTTACAAAGGAGTCAGGCAAACATACTATAATGCCATGTGCCCCACGGTAGTAACTACTTGTGATTGTCCTGAAACGTTCTTGTCCAGCAGTGTCCCACTGGCAAATGCAACACAGACGAGGACTTTAAATTTCACTTTGAAAATGCATAATGACAGAAACAAAAACTACTGCATAAATTCAGATCATGTTCACTTGTAATAGAACACAACTCAATCCTAGAACACCTGATATCGGTATGGAAGAATTGAAATAAAGATTGCAAGTGAGTTAATCAATCCATGGCAAACTACACAGAATGTTTCAACAGAAATAAAAGAAGTGTTCATCACTTAGCTAATTTTTTACTCTAAAGCTACTTGACCTTTCCAAATGAAAATATTTAACTAAATAATGTCAATTCTCAAAGAAAAAAGTAAGACAAGAAAACCATACAATTTGAAGTTTAATAGTCTTCCCATCTTGCTCCACAGTACGTATTTTCTGCAACATAAAATTAGGAACTTAACCAACTGTAAGAATGTTGTATATGTAACTTCACTAGTATTAATTTTGTCTTACAAAGTCAACACCAATTGTGCTGATGTAGCTGTCCAAATAAGAATCATCCTGCATCAGAAGATAAGGAAACAGTTAATCAACTTATAAGACATAATGAACTGAAAATGTAACACATTTGTTCGGACACAAAGCAAGAAATTTCCAAAACCATTAAATCCAATGCCCATCACAAATGCTAAACTTGGTAAAACGGCATCAGTAATAGAGTTCACATCAATATCAAAAGACAATTTACACCATGATTTTTACAACCGCAGACATTTGAAATAAAAATTGACTGTACATTTATCGTCAAGGCATATATGATTTCATTCTTTCCACACAGCCCAAGAAATGCTGGCAAATGCTCTCTTCCTTTTCTCTATTTTTTTTTTGAAACTGGTAACTTCTTCCTTTCTCTATTTCCCAACTCTCAGTTGTTGCTTTAAGCTTTTATTAGCTTATCCAAATGTGTTTTGACAGAAGGGTCAGACCTCGATATCAAACAAAAGACAAATAAACTAGAAATGTGGCATTCACAAGGATGGTCATGATCTAATTGTGCAACACGGGGCAAACCTTCATATCTGCTCCTAAATACACTAGCACATATCAACATGGGCAATTTCCTAGTTTCATTGCTTATATCAGCCATTATAAGAATCATGCAAGTAACATTCAACTCAGATGCAGGAGTGACTAAAAGTAAGACATTATTGAGTGGGATGAATATACTTACGGCAAATCTCAGGAGAAGACATGACTTTCCAACACCTGAATCTCCTATTAACAAAAGTTTGAACAAGTAATCACTGCAGAAAGCATAAGAAGAGATGGTGTTAAGTTCCATTTGAGCTGAAAATAACAATAACCTTATAGGCAGATGGATTTTCATGAAGGAAACTGTTAAGAAACAAGTCACATCCAGTAAACCTTCTGGCATCTTTAGGTCAAGGTGCAAACTAGTAACCAGCAAGAATGAGTGAACATTGCACCCAAGGGTGTGGCCTAAGGGTCAAATGAAGTAGGTTGAGAACCATATGGTCGCAGTTCAAATTCAAGTGTCGGCAAAACACTAGGTGATTTCTTCCTATCTGCAGTGGCGGCCTATCTCTGTTAAAGCCTTGGTAGATAGAGGAACCCGGTAGCTACCCCATGTAAGTTGCCCCAGACACCACAGTGATCAAATCCTTATCAATCAAATCCAGCAAAAGTTCTCTATGAGCACCTCGACTAAGTCAAAAAAGTGATAAAGACAGTTCCTTTTTTATCTTTTGATTATGGTAGTGTCTTAGCCAACTTGAATGTACCTACACTAATCCAATCCATGGGGCAGCCTACTACAGCCAACAAGCACAAGTGCAAGATAAATCAATGCACAGAGAGAACTCACATTATTCCCCTTTCCCGAATTGATTTGGATAATAGACAGAAACTAAAAACTAAAATGTTAACAACCAAACTCGTAAATCATCAAATAAGAATCAAAGTAAATGACCAATATTAGCACTCAAAGGCATCTCAGGTTCAAGTTTATTCCTATCTATTCTAGCCTTGGTGCACAGAATTATCCGAATCCGGTGAATTAAACATGCCCTGGACACCACAATTATAAAAAAAAAATTGCCCAATTTTAAAACTATCATGGATCTAAAGAGCACAATCAACAAATCCAGCATAAATCAACATATTCAATCAATTTTATCAACAAAAAACAAATGCTAGAAATGTAATTCAAAGGAGAAAGGAAGGGTAACTAACTATTCGGGATTCATGATTTTGCGAAACGAAGAAGTCGACTGATCCAAAGGCGAAGGGAACCAGGATGTCTCTGTTCTCTACGGCAGGATATCGCCGGAAAATCGGATCGTCGCCGGAAATCGCCGAGGAGAAATGTTGACAGCGCGTGAGAGAGAGAGATCAAAATATGTGGAAGTAGAGTAATTAATTACTTTATATATATATGGGCACCAACTAATTAATTGAATCAAATTATTTGGACCACATATATAGTTGTTAAGGTGGATGAGAAAATTATAAAATTGGTACCTTATGTTTGGATAAGTTCAAAATGATCCTCTATATATAATTTTTGAGCAATTTAATTGCGTGCTCATTTGATCCGAATCGCTAAAATACCACACATCCATTACAATATTCTCATTTCCACGACTTGTATTCTTTGAATATTAGAGTTCTTCATTGGTTAAAACTCCACCCCGTACAATAAAGTTGGTCTAACCATCACTTTGTAGAACATACGTAAGTTTAGGTGGCATCTTTTTACCATATAATTAAGACTCCGAAGGTAGCCGCAACTTCAACCATGATGCATCAATATGATGTGCAACATCATCATCCATTCCCTATTTTTCGGAATTACAAGTCTGAGATACTTGAAACTATCTTTCTTGGGATAGTCTGTGTGTCAAGTCTCATTTCTACATCTGCCATGTAGTGTACCACTTAATTTGCACTCTAATATTTCGTTTAGTCTTGCTCAACCTGATGAATTCATTAAACTACAGAGTTTGTCTCCACACCTTCAACATTGCATTAACTTTGATGTGTGTTTCATCAGATACGATGTCATCCACAACTAACATACATCATGACACTTCATTTTAAATATACCACGTCAATTCGTCCATCACCAAAATAAATAGAAATAGGCTAAGAATGAATCTTTGGTAAAACCCTATTTCAATTGAGATGTGCTCTGAGTCTCCTCACACCGTTTTGGCTCGGGTTTTGGTTTCATCATGTCCTTTATCGCCCTAATATAAGCTACTACTACACTATAGCCTCTAGTCATCTCTAGAAGATTTCCCTCGAGACTTTATCATAGGCCTTCCAAGGTCAATAAATGCTACATGTAAAAGTCCATGTTCCTAATTTTTCAATATTTCTCCATCGATCTTCTCACAAAATGAATAACTTCTATAGTTGACAACAGACCAATGTACAAAACTCAAGGAGGCTGCTGGTGATGGTTGTAATCAGTGTGAAACTTCATTTGAAGAAGATTGAGAAACTAAAGAAAGAATTAACTAAATTTAGACTTTGGTGTCAAGTTATCGCGTTCTCAGACTTGAACAAAAAAGCTCGTTCTTACTTACAAAAAATAATAACCAATCGAAGTCGAGAAATTTCCAGTGAATGGATACTCAAGATAAAATAAGAAATAATAAATTTGATTGATTCAACTTATAAGATTTTGGAACAATTAGAAAATTACTAATGATAAGAAAAATCGAAACAATTCAATTTGAACAACGAAGGACAATTAATCAACCTATAACAATTTTTCCAACAACTCTTACGAGACTCTGAATAGTTATTTGAACAAGAAATTGCATTTATGTACCTTTACCATTAGGTACACAAGTCACAACATATAAATTGTGATGTGTAGTTTTTAGTTTTTTTTAATGAATAAAGGTAAATGGGTGTACAAAAAACTTTTTCCAAAGAATTGGCCTTGTAAATCATTGGGCTAAACCAGCAAAAGTTAAAAGACAGTATTTTTCTGTTTTAATTTATGTGATACTTTTTAGATTTCGAGATTTAAAGAAATCTATTTTTTATCATAATTTCTTCATATATTTTTTATATATTTTGAATTGTCAATTATTGCGACTTATAGTACTTTTTACGTAGTTTATAAATATATAAATTTTATTTTAAAAAAATTGAAGATACCATACTCAAAGACTCTCGAAAAACGAAAAGTGCCACATAAATTGAGACATAAGGAGTAATTGATATTTCTTCATTGATCCACCATATAAATTTGAACTTTTTCCAAAGGCATCAATACATAGACAAAATGAAACTTTCATATTTGAAGTGATTATCAAGAACTTAGTAACAACTTGTCCCAAAAAAAAAGTGTAAACATAAGTGAAAAGAAAACAAAATCATTTTTCTGTATAGGACTTTTGACGACTTTGCCCTTGTTTTATCAAATCGCGGTCCCTCGATTCTAGGGGTAAATTAGTAACATGCGTTCCATCAGGATCGAGATCTCCCTCTATGGTCAATCCTTCTATTCTTGTAGCAATTCCTTCCCCTTTCAATATTGATGCATCAATATCTATTTTACAAAATAACAAGCAATTTTATTTAATTAATTGATTAATAATTCAAAAAAATCATTAAAAAAATGTATAGAATTAATTTACCTGGATTAGAAAAAAACCATAGGATAAATCCACACAATAATAACACAAAAGGTATTATATGAACAACATTTTCTGCAAATTTTGCATGAGATTTTTCCTTTTTTGAAATATCAGAGAGTGGTTCATGTATTGGTAATAATTCACTAGCTTCTAAAGACAATGCTCGTAGCGCCGGAGACACCTTTGTTAATGAGGATGATGAATTAGAAGACGATGAATAATAACTCGTGAAATTATAATTGTCTGGGACACGAGTAGTACTCGATGATCTATACATCTTTTAATGTTTTTTTTTCGCGATAAGCTATAGTTTTTTTTTTGTGTGTTAACTCAACTATTGGTTAAATATTGAAAAAGCAAAAAGAAAAAAATAGTGAGAGAGTAAAAAGGCGAAATAAATGAAGTAGGATCTGACTAGTTCTTTATAGAATATTTATATAATCAGGTTATTTATTAAATATGATTTTTTTAATTAATATGCATCAATAGCGTACATAAAAATTATCAAGTATCCTTTTTTTTTTTTTTTAATAACAAGTCAAGATTGTAAATTTTATTTTGATGAAAAGTTAAATGTAAATAACTTTTGGTTAACTTAATTGTGTTGGAAATAATTTATATTGTCATTGTTCATATAAGTTAAACTTGCCTAAGCCGGCCAGCTCATAATAGAATAGATAGGTGAAGCAGTCAATTGTTGTTAAAATTATTTTTAATTATATACTGCAAATTCCCAAAGAACATCATCAAACACACTGGAATTAATAATAATCTTTATTATGTCTTATATATAAGAATACAAAACTCAAAATGTTTTGCAAACATTTATATTTATCATATAGGTATATATTCCATTATTATACATTTATACTCATTTACTAGATTCTCACGGTATACTAGACATATCAAACCCTATTATAACACGTACATTAAAGTTCACAATACTTGATTAATATTATGTAAACAAATATATTACACATCCAATATATTTAACTATCCACGATTATCTCTCTCCTTTGAAATTGATGGCGCGAGGTCGCTATCATAGCCACTTGAGCCACTACTATCACCACCACCAGAACCATAACCAAACCCCCAGCCTCGACCTAACCCATTAGGCGACCTACTTGAGCCGGAGCCATAACCCCATCCTCCTCCAGGACTAGAACCCCAACCCCAGTTGTAATCCCAGTTAGGTCCACGTGTTGCACCACTTTCATCACCACTAGGGGATGGAGATGTTTCCGAGGTGGTCATCTCCCTTCCACCATCTCCACCACCGGTGTTGAAGGCTAGATAATGAGGTGTGATAAACAAAATGATCATAAGAATGAAATGAGAAGTGTTTTTTTGCATTATTATGCTAACAATATTTATATCCTCTTCTTTGTTATTGTTGGTCAAAATTGTGACTTTTAAGATTTGTACATGAGGATAGTGGGTATTTATTTATTTATGGACCCGTGACACTAAAAGAAGTCCATGGACCTTACACATGCACTTGTCAAGAAGAGATATATAATGGACTAATTAATGGTGCATCTTCCACCCATATTATAGTTGAATTTTAATTAATTTTAGGTATATTAACGATATAAAAAATATTTACCTTTATCGCATTAAATAGTGATTGGTATATAATACATAGAAAACTCTTTATATTTGGTCTGATATTGCGATATGAAAGATATCGTAATAAGAATATAAATTGCACTAATTATATAATATTTGTTTATACTATCGGTATATGTAAAAAAAAATTATGTGTATATTTACGTAAGAGAAAATGGTCAAATGCTCCCTTAAGTTATGACCGAATTCTACATTTTCAAAATTTTAATTAAGAGCGTAGAAATTCAGTCATTCATCACAAATCTTGGTGTGGTCCTTTTGACTTACATGTTTAACACACTATGCACATCGCTTTCTATGGTGCAAATAGCACTCATCACTTGCATTGAAACTCTAACTTTTGTGTAGTTGGATGAAATTATTATGACCTAAAACTAACACATGTCATCACCAACATATCCAAACGGAGAAATTTTTTTATCTTAAAAGAATTTTGTTCAATTGATGAAAGAGATGTCAAAATCGATTTGAAAATTATTGGTTCTTATAATGATTTAAAATAATCAATATACAATTTAATGGATTCACAATCAAACTTTATACATTTTTGATAACTTTATAAAGACATACACATATATATCAGAAAAATTATTGAATTTACGTGAACCTGTAACTTTTACGCTATATCTGTCCCAATAGAAACTTGACACATGGACATTATCTCTTGATAACATCTAATCAGTTGGATATTCATGGGATACCAATGATCTTATTATTCCTCAACTAAATTGTAGTTGGTAGTTAATAGAACTTTAATTTAAGCTTGATTTATGTAAGACATTTAAATCTGACAAAAAAGATCAAAATAAATCTTATTTTTATAATGTTATAAAAAATAACAAAATTATTTAAAGTATAATGTCAAAAGTATTATATCTCAGTTCAAAAGAAAGCTAAGATGGAAAACTTTTGTCTAAAGAAATTACAAATATGCAGAAATCTTTAGATGGAAATATTTTTAATTATCAAAGTATGTACCAATGTAATTTTTTTTTTGTCAAAGTGGTGTAATGTATAAATATTTAAAATATTTGGTCAAATTACTAGACATATTATTTGTTAAGTTAGAGAGGAAAAATTATCTAAATAAACATCTTATTTTACCATAATCTCTAAAATTCCTTATCATTTAAAAAATTTCAAAAATCTCCTCTTGGATACATCACTCTCCTCTCGCTGATACATCCATATCCTCCTCTCGGGTACATCCCTCCCCTCTCCAATACATTCCCTATGTATCTGGATGTCTGCTGATGTATTCAAAAGTCCCGCGATGTATTCGGATGTCTGTTGAGTATCCGGAAGTCCCGTGATGTATCTGGATGTCTTATCCCTCTCTGATACATCCCTCCCCTCTTGGATACATCCCTCACTATGTATCCAGATGTCCAGTGATGTATCCGGAAGTCCAGTGATGTATCCGGAAGTCCAGTGATGTATCCGGAAATTTAGTGATGTATACGAGATCCATATATTTTAAGAATTTTTTGTAATTTAAAAGAGTAGGAAAATAATGTAATTAGCTCTTGACACCATGAGATTTATGTAATATATGCGACTTTGTAACAATAAGACATTTAGTATTGCTTTCTTTACCATGAAAATAGATGACTTCGCAATAAAAGTGGGAAAACAGTTATATTAAAATAATTAATATTTGAGTGAGGTTGTTATAAAGAGCGCAATGTTATAAAGATTGTTACTGTGGTTATAGGTAAAAAAAAAAATGTGCGAAAAAAATTTGGCTTTATTTTTCTTCATTAGGAGACTTCTTGTCAGAGCTCAAACATGAGACTTTTGGGTAAAGATGAAGGAATATTTATCATTCTACTATAATCTTTGATGATAAAAACTTGACGTTTATAGTAAAATGTTATATAAGAATGATATTACAGGTGACATTTATAGTAAGATGTTATATAAAAATGATATTACAGGTGACATTTATAGTAAGATGTTATATAAAAATGATATTAAGGAATGATGACTATACTGATGGTATATATATAAGTTAATAATAGGTGTGTATTATCCTTGGAAATGAGGAACCAGAGGATTAAGCATGTGTTAATCATGGGCAGAACTAGACTATATGCTTATTGGTTTGGGAAAAAAGTCTGAAATATATCTGAACTTTGATCAAAATTGTTGTAATAATATCAAATTTTGGAAAAGACCTTTTACCCATGCACTATTTAATAGTGTATTTTAAAAGTATATATGTGCCCACGTGGACATCATAAATTTTGCATCATTATGAATAGTAACGTGTCCACGTGGGCACATATATACCTTTAAAATACACTACTTTAAATAGTGCGGGGGGTAAAAGGTCCTCCATAAAGTTTGGTATCGTAACAACAATTTCAGCCAAAGTTAGAGTATTTTTCAAACCCTTTTCCCTATTGGTTTTGATCGAACTCAATAATTTTGGTCAAAATTTGGTATTGTCTTAAGAAATTCATTCAAAATATACAAATTATTAATCCTTTTGTTTCAATTTATACAACACTTTCACTTCTTGAAGTCAATTTAAGTATTTCATTTGTAAAGTTAAATTAAATGTATAAATTTTAGGGAAAATGCATAAGTACCCCCCCAGCCTATGCCCGAAATCTCAGAGACACACCTAACCTTTACTAAGGTCCTATTACCCCCCCCGAACTTATTTTTTTATTAATTTTTTACCACCTTTTGGCCTACGTGGCTGAGTCCGTGACTTCACCTATGTTAGGCGCGTGGGTGCAATTTTTAGACAACACTGACCAATAAAAATTGGCCACGTGTTAAAATAAACTTTATTGTTGTTTATTGTTCTTCATCTTTAACTAAGTTTTCTTCTTCTTTATTGTTCTTCATCTTTAGAAAAAAAAAACCTCCATTATCATTATCATTCAAGTTAAATTTCTTCTTGTTTCGAAAAGGTAAAGTAAAATTTTAATATATTCTTTATAATTACACCTTTTTATTTCGATTGTTAGTTCTGATTTTAAATTTCTTTCACAATTTTTATGTATAAATATTAGGGTTATGACAAAATCCGAGTTGAATAAGTTGTGTATGGAGCTAGGTGAAGGATGTCCCTTGCTGAGGGATATTGTGTTGTCTCACTGTCGTCAAATAACAGATGTAGGGTTAAGTTATATTGCTAATAGGTGTACCTTGTTGGAAACTAGCCACATGGTCTATTGCCCTGATATCACCGCTGCTGGAGTAGCTACGGTGATTACGAGCTGCACAAATATAAAGAAATTAAGTTCTTGTAGAGAAGTGGAAAGTGAGTCCAAGAACCAAAAGGAGAGCAGGATCCATCATCTCCTATCTCTGTGTTGATCTGTAGATCTCTGTACACGTGTTAGTGTAATCTATTCCTTGCAGCCTCCAATCGAAAGCAGCAAGGGTAAAACAGACTATCGTTGTGGATAGCCAGTTTAAGTTGCAAATTACCCCGACTTAAAGTGATAGTTTTACTTTTGGGAAAGTTGAAAAAGTGATAGCTTTTTTGAATTTTTGGGAAGTGTAAAAGTTATTTTGAACTGATAGCTTATACTTTTTAGAAAGTTGAAAAAATGGGCCCAACGCGTGTTGAACAACTCTTTCAGTCTATCTGATTTATATTGCCACGTAGGCCAAAATGTGGTAAAAAATTAATAAAAAAATAAGTTCGGGGGGGGGGGGGGGTAATAGGACCTTAGTAAAGGTTAGGTGTGTCTCTGGGATTTCGGGCATAGGCTGGGGGGGTACTTATGCATTTTCCCTAAATTTTAGGAATAACATAGTTTTAATATGAGAATACAATTTATCCCTATTTAGTTTGTAATTACATTAATCCCTGAAAAAGTAAAACAAACCGGATACATAATATGTAGCTCGGATACATTATAAAATAAACCAAATACATAATATGTAACTCGGATACATTAAAAACTAGCTCAGATACATTATAAAATAATGAGAAAATACATAAAAAAACCATGAACTTGGTCGGATAACTTACTTTAGTACTTGAACTGCGCGGGCGTTTAAATACCCCCCTTAAGATCTTTGAAGTGATTTTTTTTTCCACCCTGAGACTATAACACCACTCTTACCCGCCACATCATAGCCACGTAAGCGTCACATCATAACCATGTAGGCACCATGTCATTAATCTTTATTTCTTTTTTACTTATTCACTATTTTTTCTTAAACACTTTTTAAAATTAATTATATCAATTGATTAATTTATAAATGCATACCTCCACCCCAACCCCCTCTCTTTCTTCTTCCTTGTTGTTCACCATTATTCCAACCTTCAATACTTTCTTTTCTTCTTCTTCACTATTCAACAATTTTTTAAGTCACTTTAAAGAAGAAATTCACATTATCTTCTTCGAACCCTCCCAACGAATTTACCCTCTTGGAGAATGGATTTTTTTGAAAGCCAATTTTTTCTTGACAACTCAAATAAGAAATGAAGATTGCATAAGAAAGTTGATCCAAAAAAAATATAAATTTTATGAGATGTTTGAATGATCTAGAAATTAAAATAGGTCGCTCAAAATGTAAGAAAGTTTACATTTGCCAAATCGATACAAATAATAGAGTGAAATTGAAGTCAATAAAATAACATTGCTATTGAATTTTACGAATTAGTAAAAGATTAGTGAAATGAAAATAGTGGATAGAGATGGGGAAGAAGATGGAGGAAGAGATGTTTCAATGGAGAAAAATGTGTATTGAAG